AAAAATAAAAAATCAGCGGAATAAAGATAAAGTTAAAAGTTACGAAGAAGGTGTATCTGAGGTAGAATAAAAAACAGAATATTGGGGCGGGAGGTCAATCTTTCTGTTGAGGCTGGGGGTAGTATTAGAAACAAGGGCTTCAAGAACTAAGCGTTGGTATTTGTTTGCTATATCGCTATAAATGGGGGTTGTGTTGTCGAGATTGAAGGAATGTCCGGACTCGGTGATATGTTGGTATATGAGCGATTTATATATTAACTTTATGAACGGAAAAATATGTCCAGGGTAGCCTAGTGGTCATGGCATCTGCCCAGTAAGCGGAAGGTCGTGGGTTCGATTCCCATCCCTTGACACTTTTTTTATTTTATCCATTCTGACCAAAATCTATCCGTGAACTTCACACAGACAGAATAAGGCAATTATATAAGTAGATAAGGAATTCTTTGCTAGTTGGTTCTAAATTAAAGATTTAATTTCATTCTGCATATCCATCTGAATAGTATTATTATTATTTTTTTTCTTGTCCCAGGTCAGGATTTCAAGTCTAGACCAGATCCTGAAGGTCTCTTTATCACCTCAATGACCACAGCTGGGTCGGTATAGATGTCTGTTCGGCAATGCCCGATGTGATGTGTTCTGGGCTCGCTGGAGAATCCTGACATTTTGGTGCAATTCGGAAAGGTTTTGGTTCCACTTGTGAAAATCATTGTACGTAGATGGCCTGTTCTATGATGGGAAAGCATGGTGAAGTCTGATCTGTTTTGAGTTGGTTTTCAGGAGGGGAGTTTTCCCATTGAATCAGCGGTGTTTGATGTTATTTTGCCAATTTTGATTAAATTTGATTTTCATTCTGTTAGAGTGATCATTTGCTGTTGGAAGGGTTGAGGATATTTTCTTATACTCAACTATTAACATATATATGATGATAGAATGAATACTCAGTGATAATGTTACTTATTCACACAATTAAAATAAGAATATTTATAATAACTTTACGAATAGATAACACTTCTGAAAATTGGTTATATAGAATTTTTTTTTTTGCTTATCCCTAGTACACGTGGTACAGGCCATGATAATCATGGTGGGTAGTTAGCGACTGCTTTTTTACTGTAAGCGCACCACATGTCTACACATGTGAAAGCAGTTCGACTTTGCACTTACAAATGTGCCAGAGCCCCGTTTGGTTACTTGCACTCGCTGGTGGGGTTGGACTTTTGCAAGAATCGGGGGGCCATTGGAGCATTTTTTTTTTAAACAGAAAAAAGTGTCCAATGTGGGGATCGAACCCGGGTCGTAGTAGTCGCAAACCAAACGGTTTAACCAGCCTTCCACCGACCCCCCATATTCAAATTTTAAATTCTCATTATAGGCCTATATTATAATTAAAATTTATAATTTTGGGTCATGAGATAAAGCACAATTTGGATTATAGATTAGAAATATAAGAAGAAGAAATCTAAATAAATAAATAGTGTGTGATGTTTCAGTAACAGTGTTGTTACCATTTTATCCGAGGATTGTAACGTTACAGAAATATCACACACTCTTTATTTATTTGGATTTGGTCTTATTACCTTGATTTTGGGTCATAAAATTAAGTTTGGTATAAAAGTATTTTGTTCTTAAAAAATGCAAAAGTTTGTTATAATCCTAAACACAATGTAATAAGACCAAATCCAAATAAATAAATAGTGTGTGATGTTTCGGTAACAGAGAGAGTTTTCTTATACTATATATATATATATTTATATAACTTATATATAAGTTCACATTCAGCACTTTTGTCTGAAGATGGTAACAATGCTGTTACCGAAATGTCACACACTATTTATTTATTTGGATTTGGTCTTATTACCTTGTGTTTATAATCTACTAGCGGATGTACCCGGCTTCGCCCGGGTTTTACCCTAGTGAAAGTTTACCTAACGAACATTTGTTAAAACAATTCTAGAAAACATCCAATCCCTACTGAATCTATACTTGGCAAGATAACTTTATGTTTGATTATCTGCTCCACCTAGCTGTACCCGTTCAAACGTTGCTGTCTTCGAACAAAAAGGCAGTTTTAATACCTAAATAATAATTTATTAATGATCAAATGTATACAATACATCAAAATGAAAATTAACAATAAAATTATCCCTACATAAATGTCATTTAAATATAACATATGTAAAAAATAATAGATATATTTTGATAATTTGAAACTCGTAAATTTAAATCTCTCGATAAAGTGAACATTTTTTCCCGGTCCCTTGAAAAATACTCGATAAGTTGAATAAAATCAATATTAATTATCATTATTCTTGTCTCAAATAAATTGCGGTGTCATCCTGAATTTTGTCTTTTCTAATTTTCTACATTACAAAATCATCATTTTATCTATTCTCCCAATATATATGTTGTAGATAAATGATAAAACTAACTTTGACTTGTACGCAATTAATAGGTAGAAAATCTTACTTTAGTTTAATCTACAAATCTGCAAATAACTCTAAAGATATTCAAGAAATTATTTTTCAAAAACCTTCCCAGGGATATACCTAATAATATCCCAAAATTTCACGGCGATTGGATGTAGGGTTTTTGATTCTATAGAGTACAGACAGACAAACAGACAGACGGACAGACATTCAATTTTATATATATATAGATAATCCAAAATGTGACTTATCATTATGGTCCTAATATTTTTCAAGGGAATGGAATTGGGGAATGATTGATTATCTTATGTTCTCTATAAAGGAAAAAGGTTCACTCTTTCCACTGTTTATTACAGCAAGTTTTACTGCATCTATACATGTTGGTGGATTAGTAGTCTAAACTGCTGGTTTTCAACCACTATGACCCGGGATCAAATCCCGTATTGGGAACTTTTCTCTAATTGAAAAAATGCTCAAATGGCCCCCAATTCTTGCAAAAGTCAAACCTCACTAATGAGTGCAAGTAAACAAACAGGAGTCTGGCCCACTTGTAAGTGCAAAAGTCGAACTGCTTTTCACATTTGTAGACATGTGGTGCACTTACAGTAAAAGTATTTACCGACTTCAACCCACTATGATTATCATGGCATGTACCACGTGTACTATGGATGATAATAAAAGGAAATCAAGAGATACTTTGCTGCTTCCATAATTTGTTGTTGTTTCTTATCCCCTGTGTAAAGATTACACGAATTCCATGAATGGAATGGGGTATAGGGGTGCAGCTTTTGTTGATCATGGCACACTTTGGTGAAAGTCTGACTTTGCCTGTATTTTGAGGCCGTTCCTAACATGGAAGCTTTTGCTGCCGACTCTAACATGAGTACAGATGCAGCTCCTGGAGAGGTCCATCAACCAGGTCAGTTGAACTATGGATTTTTAAAGAGGTCTTTCTCCTCTTCTAACAATGCTGCTGTTGGTCTGTGACTGCTTATTCATCAGAGTTATTCTGCTTATTTTTCAACTGGTCCTTCCCCTATCTGCCAACTGGGGATGTGCCCTGTAGCAGTCAGCTCTGCAGAGAGGCCACAATTTGTGGTGCTTTGGTGTAATGTCACATATTGTATCATTGCACCTTATGAGTTGAGACTTCTCAGTAAATTGAAATTGAGTCCCAAGTATCCATCCAGTGAAATTTGCTCCAACTTGGATCACAATTACCCATTACTGTAGCAGCTTTGTCTTAAGGGAGTCTACAGAGTCCAACCCAAGTGTGTGTATTCCTGTATGTGAAACCTTTCTTTACAGCAGATATACTCTATAACAAAAAAATCGACGCACCAAGAGCAGTTGTCCGATTTATATGAAAATACGTATACAAAGAGGTTTCGACCAAACATGCAAATGATTGAAATTTGGTGGCCGAATAATGCAAAGCAAGAGCTCCAGCGCATCTGAACTGCGCATCCAGCACGAGCATTCTAGACACAATATTCGGCGCGGCACGAGCTGATTTTCAGAATTTCCGTTTAATATTTCAGCAGCATGCCTATTTCTACTGTATCATTGCCTCGCCGAAAGATTCGTGCTCATTACGAACATATGTCAGAGTTTGAAACTGGTCGTGCCATTGTATATCGTGTATATGAAGATAAGTATAATTTTGAAAATCAAACTACATAACACATCCTTGGCACTTTAAGTGTTATTACCTGCTAACTAACGGGGGTCGGTGGAAGGGTGATCTAAACTGTTGGTTTTAGACTGCTATGACCTGGGGTCGAATCCCGCATTGGGTACTTTTTTGGGCACTAATAATAATAATAAAAAAAATGCTCCAATGGCCCCGATTCTTGCAAAAATCCAACCCCACCAGCGAGTGCAAGTAACAATACGGAGCTCTGGCACATTTGTAAGTGCAAAAATCGCTTTTCACATGTGTAGACATGTGGTGCAATTACAGCAAAAGCAGTCGCCAACTTCTACTTACTACCTGCTAATTTATGTCTAAAAAAAGTCAGAAAATGGCCATTATAGCTTTTATATCTTACATATTCCATGTATATAAATAGGGGTAACACATTAGGACCCTTCTTAAGTTTCCTATTCAAACTGAATGTTATCAATGATCCAACATGTGAATGCCGCTTAGATGCTGAATCACCAGAGCATCTTCTTTTAACTTGCCCTCTGACTAATCAAATTGTATGTAAATACTTTGAAACATTACCAAATTGTCTTTGTGTATATACTCTATCTTATGAGAACTTTGTTAAGTTTAGAACTATTTGTACAATCATTTACAAAACACTACTAATCCATCGTGTAAATAATTAATCATATATATGTAAATATTACTAGCACAGCACAATAGTCCTTTGGACTTCGTGCTTTTGTAACAATAAATAAATAAGTAACACATTTTATTTTTATAAACAGTCAAGAACTAGATCAAAAGTAATGTTTATTTAACTTTAAGACTAAAGATAATTATTGATGTTAGCATCCATCAAGTTTGACTTTTGATGACAATGTAAATACATATTTTTCAATTTGATTTACATAAATAAAAGATGCCTGCGACAGGACTTGAACCAGCATTCTTCTTATCTGAAGTCAGATGCCTTATCCAATAGGCAAAGTGGGCACAAGATAATTATATTTATTAACAATCATCATTAATAACCTAAACTGCCTTCCATAGAAAATGCAGGGTATATCCCAAACTAATCCAATACAATAGTAGAGCTGTCTATAGAGATTAATTTGGCAAAACTGCTGAGATGAGCCAAGCCTTCTCATTCAATAACATATCATTGCAGTAAGGTCTATAGAGATAATATTTGATGATATTATTGAAAAGAAACACATTGCCAGTAAATCAGTACTTTTGTCTGGAGATGGTAACAACGCTGTTACCGAAACGTCACACCCTATTTATTTATTTGGATTTGGTCTTATTACCTCTTGTGTTAGATATTCATTAATAATCAATAAATAATGATGAACAAAATAAATGAAAATTATCGAATAAATAAAAATTAATCAGCAGGATGAGTCCTATTCTATCCCAACTCGAAGTCATATGCGAACCGCTTTCGTGCAGTTGCTCTAGCTTTTAGGACTGAAGTAAATACCCAGGGGTCATTCGACCAGATTGCTAGAAAGATTTTCATCTAACCCCAAGTCGTCTTCTCAAGTTTCTTCACAAGATACACCACAGAGAGGTCACCACCCTCATGGGACACTACCATGTTGTGGCAGCGGGAATCCTGGCATAAATCCGACCTGCCTTCACAGTCTGGAAGAACTACAGACAGTGTATCATCTCTTGTTCATTTGCCCTGTTTTCCTGAGACACAGGATGCAAACACAGAATCCAAATTGAGCTTATTTCTTTTAGTAAATGATATAAATGTCGATTTTAAAATACCATTAGTAAACTTACAAAGTAGTAGCTGTGAGCAATAGAGTCTCCATCGCTCATAAACATGGCTAAAGTCAGTTTCTACTGAAGATGTTCTCTCATCAGAGGCTCTGTCATATAGGCCAAGTTCTTTCAAACGAGACAGTCTCCGATTTAAGACCAACTCCAGGAGAGGCGAGGTTTTGCCATATTTTTAGGCTATGGTTTCTCATGAGACTCTACTGTGTGTTGTTGTGTGTTGTGTGTGTATTGTTGTGTGTGTTGTGTTGTTGTGTGTGTGTTTTTTTATAATCAATAATTTAATTTCCAACTTGAAATTTGTAGTGAAAAATATGGTTTTGGCGTGTTGAACGTGAGGTAAGACATGTGGCTTTGTCCTGGTGCAGTCACACGGATCTTGGGCCACTTGGATTCAAAAACAGGATCTTATGGTCGAATCATGGGTCTAGGAAAAGGTTTTAGTAGGTTTGCGAATTTATATTGGCATGTGGGTCCACCCTCTTTATAGGAAGCTTCCCATTGTGTGTGTTGTTGTGTCTGTTGTATGTGTTTGTGTGTGATGTGTGTTGTTGTGTTGTGTATGTAACTCCCGTTGTATAAATTTAGAAGAAACAATTCGTTCTTAGAGATTCTATCTATCGAATACAATATGTAATTTTCCAACACCAGGAAGATATCATCTAGTCTCGGAGTAGATGGAACCCAGCCTGGCTGTTCCGGTGGCCCACACAGGGAGCCATCTTGGTTTATTGCCGGGACTCTGCGACGTCCCCGAGGATTGGTGAGGTCGTAACGAGTTTACGTCCTGCAGCTTCCCCGGCGGCTGATTTATGGGCGAGATTGCTGGAGGGCTTCAAATGTCCTCGAATTCAATAAAATGTTTTGGATAAAAAGCCTATGATTTCTAATTAAACTCTCTCTCTGGCATATGAGATTAAAAAGGGTTAAGAGAGTAAAAACGAGAGAGAGACAATGACAATTAATACAGTTTTATTGACATCTTGTCAATACATGTGCACAGTCCCGCACTATTTACGTAATGATGAGAAATTCACAATGATGATGATTATAATACAAAATAATTGAAACAAATGTTATGTACAATGAATATGGCACCCCTCTGCCACCGCTGCAGAGTTTGATGGAAAATTGCCAGTGGGTCTTCAGCGGCTCCACGCATTTCGCGTTTTACGATGAAAACGTAAATCGGGTACTTCGCCGCTGAGGAGATGGTGATGGCGTGGTCCTCGAGACCAACTGGAAAGATCTAGGACTGCAGGTCCGACGGCCGCCCGTTGATGGAGAATGCCTTTCGGATGAGAGGGCGGACGGCGCTGAAGGACCAGTAGCGATGGGCCAGCGACAGATCGCTGGAGCCTCAGGCGAGAGAGAAAGACGAAAGACAAAGTAGTTTATTTAAATACTCGCCTCAAAGCATTGAGGAGAGGAATGTGCTGTATGATGATTGTGCAGTGTACAAAATTGTTAACTTAACTGATCAAATGCAACAGTTACCTGAACTCTATCCGTCAAACTGACATTCGGAATCTATACAACACAATGCAGGCACGTTTAATGTAGATTACTGTCCTAAATCCAACTCTGAATATAATAGCTTCAGAGCAATGGCTCTAGGTCAGGTATGAAGTAAACTTGAAGACAACGCCAGGATTCACTCAATGTCTGTAGCATTTGTTATCGCAAGAAAGCATCAGCCCATACTGACTCACTGTTTCTTGGAACAATGGGTGAAGAATAAAGCAAAATTCCTACTGTCTCTTCTTTCTGCGATGAAAAAATATTGGAAAGGCCTGGATTATTAGTGGTGAATCCATCCAGCGTCCAATATAGTATTAGAGTTCCAATAAAAAATCGACCAATACCAAAATCGGACACAAGCATGGATGTTGGATGAGAACAGGCTTCGAAGGATTTTTCACCTAAAAAGTGTTAGCAAAAACAACGCAGGATATTTAAATACAATATCATGTTGAATATTATGAGAATAAAACATAGTCTAGGGACGTATTTTGATGAGATGTCTGCACATATTGAGAGAGGATTGAAGTGCGAGGCTGTTGAATAATTCCCGAAGGCTTACTACCTGAGGGCCCAGGAATGGGATTACCTTCTGTGGGGCAGAGATCCCTTTAGTTGGCTGAGGGCCTGTGCAGGAGTTCCACTCGACACTGCTGAAGCCAGATGGATTTAGTAACTAGAACAATGGACGTCGCACATGCAATGGAGAAGTGTGTTTAGAGATAAACCAAAATACTAAATGTCTTTATAAATTTTAAAAATGACAGTTAATTGTAGTTATTTTTAATGATGAAACTTGACTCCAAATTGGAAATTTTTAACGGGCACGTTATTCGCAATATCTGAATATTAATCGAAACAAAAGCAATAGATATTATACCTTTTTTTTTGACGACGAGAAATAAGTTTGTATTTAAGTTACATAAAATTATGAAATTATTGAGGTGATGAAATTATTGAAGGTCGTTATGGCGTCACGTTAAGTTTTGAAGAATTTCTCACATAAGAAGTGTTGGAGGGGATTGAAGAAATAGTAGGTGAGAGGTCAGGAGAAATGGTGGGTAATCGAGGTCTTCGTAGCTCAACTCATGCAGATTTTGTCGTGTCATGATTAAGACCTTGTAGTCGAACTTTGTCTTGAAGGATTGACCCATTATTGTTGATAATCGCGTCGCGGTAAGCAGCAGCTCGACCTCTTGAGACAACAGTTCGCGTTTGTTTGGAGTACACCACGTAGCTTCGTTCTTCTTCTTTGTCACGAGCTCCTCATCCCTTTATATCCCGGAGTAGATCTTTCCAGAACGGTCATGGTTGGTCAGCCAATCAGAAAGCCACCAGCACTAAGCCTTGCGCAATCGCTTTAGATTGGTCAATCTGTTGTTCTCCGATTTTTCTACATTATTCTTGGACGTTCTGAAACATTCTATTCTGGAATGTGCTTTCTATTCTACGTAACAATTTGATTGAGTGGAGATAAGAAAGAAGAAGAAGATCAGTAAAGTCCCAAGCCTTCAAACCAGTTCCAGCTCAGAATAACTTTATTAGTTACCGTTCAAAAGGAGCAAAACCCAGGTCATCATTGTTCTTAAAATTAAAAACTTCGGCCAGTATAAATCTTTTTATTAAATATACAGAATATAAAAAACAAAATTGGCATTTCCTGAGCATTTTAGATGGTAGACTCTGGGACCAAACCTTTGGTCGTAGAGGTACAGTCGGCACCACACTGACGAGAGCCAACAGCCCGAAACGCGTTGGTGGTTGACTTTTCTTGCTTTATCAAGAAATTGGGTTAGCCAAACATTTTTGGAACAAGCTAAATCAACGTTTAGTTGATTTTTGTTCCACTAGATGGTGCTCTGCTATCTAAAATGTTCATGTGAGCAATCAGGGGATGCAAATTTTGTTTTTAATTAAGACACACAGGTCTTACAGAGGATTCTCCTTGGGATTACAAGACGGAGAAACCCATGAAAGTGGGAAATATACAAAGGGGTAAAAATGGAGAAAGATTATATACACATGGTAAATATATACAGATTATTATTTGAATGATCCTATGGAAAATAAGAATATGGATTTGGAAAAAAAAAATTTTTTTTTTGGAAATATGGGTGGGAGAAGTGGAGAGCGAAAGTTGTTTTTAATATCAACACCTGATATTTTTTTTTTCACATAAAGAATATAATAAATATAAAGATTTACTGGATGAAATATCTTTAATTAAGAACTATGAATGCAGGCCAGGCAGCCTTTATCTTTATGATAAACAGATCATCGTATTTATAAAAAAAATGTGGTTACTTATTAGGGTCTATTTCTTCAATTATATTATTATATTACCCCCTTTTTATTGGTCCGGAATCTCAGGTCCTTGGGGATCTTTTTTTTTTTTGGAGAAGTTTTTCCTGGATTGTCTGATATTTACAGTGAATTTTTTTCCCTCCACATTACATCGTTCTTGCTTAGTTGATATGGAAGTTGTTTCCTTTTTTCCTTCTGTCACAAATGTAGTTGGTAGCTTCTTGAAGTTAGAGAAGCGCTTCTAATATTTTTAGTCTTCCATTTAGTAATTTTATGGTGGTGCTTATCTCCATGCTTAAACCAATTCCTGAAGTCCACTCCTCTCCAATTTTGTGATGGTAGTTATAGGCCTGGAAAATAGGCCCTCTTTTGTCAGT